GGGAGAGGAGTGTGGGGGGGGGGGCAGGGATGGATACGGAGGTGCGCATGAAGGACAAAACGGCGCCCCGCCTCAACGCTGTGCTGGTGCGGGACGCAAAAGCCCTCGAAGCACCACAAAACAGTCCAGCTGGATGGCATAGGCGAGCTTGTCCTCCAGCCCGCCCACACAACCTGATCACCTCCAGCCCACACACACGTACACACACACACACACACACACACACACACACACACACACACACACGCGCATGCAGGGCAAGATGTGCGTCGCCCCACCTGATATCTGGTTGGAGCTGGCGTCCAGCCATGAGAGGTCCTGCAGCTCCCAGGTCTTGGGCAGGGTCCCGCTCAGGCCGTTGCTGGCCGCCATCAGGTACTGCAGGTTCTTGGGGACGGTGGCCCACTCCGCGGGGACAGAGCCCGTGAGGCGGTTGTTGCTGAAGGAGGCCAGCCGCAGCCGCGGGGGGTCCGAGGGGCTCAGCTACGGTGGAGAGGCGGGAGAGGGGAGGAGGCGTGTGGTGAAGACGGGGGAACGAGAAGGCAGGCTGTTGTGCGTGATGTGCAGCTGCGCAGGTGTCGCGAGACACCCCTTCGCAGCTGCCTTGCTAGACCAGGGACCTGTTGTAGACACTTGGGTTTCGCACCAGCAGCCCGCACTCTGCACACCCAGCATGCGCGTGCGGCGCAAAAAGAATCAGCCCTCCGAGGCGGACCGCACCTCGTCCTGCAGCAGCCGCCTGTGGCGGCCCCCCGCCGCCGCAGCCGTCGCCACAAAGGGCGGCATGGGCCCGCTGAGCCTGTTGTTGTCCAGCACCAGGCGCACCAGCGACTGCCCGATCCCCGGGATGCCCCCCAGCAGGGCGTTGGAGGAGGCGTCAAAGATCCTGAGAGCCGCGGGCAGCGCCGGGGGCAGCGCGCTGAGGGCGTTGCGGCTGATGTCCAGGAACCTCAGGGAGTCGGGCAGGAGGGGCACAGAGCCTGAGGGGGGCAAGAGGGGAGGTCGGGTGCAGAATTCCAGCGTCAATGTTTTTGAGATGGGGAGGCAGGTGGACAGCAAACTGGGTGGTGAGGCGGTGGGCGCCACGTGGAGAGGTCCACAGGCGGCGTTGTTGGTGGGGCGGCGCACTAACGCGGCCATTGTGCGACTCGGCTGCCCGGAAGCGCGTATGACATCTGATCGGCCGCTCCTGCGGTGGCTGACCTGAGAACTTGTTCTTGGCCAGGTCCAGGAACACCAGATTCTCGGCGTTGGACAGGCTGGGGGGGATGGAACCTTTGGGGGGAGAGGAGCAGGAGGAGGGCGAGGGCGGGGGCGGTGATTGCAGGGGCAAAATCAATTTTTTTTCGTGTAAGGCAGGCAGGCAGGCAGGCACGAAGGAAGCTGGGATTCAGCATCAAACGCCATGAGCCGCTGCGTTAGGATACTCTGGCGCAAGCGGTCGACCAGGAAGGAATTGCGAGAGAGGGGCATCAACGGCGGTGGGTGCTTAGTGCAAGGGCTCACCGTCGAGCACGGTGCCCTGTTCTGTTCCGGACCCGACCGCGAAGATGACGCGCAGCGGGGAGCCCTTCAGCACGCTGTTGGGCAGGGGCCCCGTGAGGCCTGTCTCTGAGAGGTACAGCTCCTCCAGGGTGGCGTCCTGGGCCACACACGGCGGGTTGGGGGGGGGAGTTGGTTGTTGATTATTGATACAAAGTCGGTTGAATTCCTGTAAGGGGGCAGGTTTCACGATAGGGCGGCCTCTGTCGGCATGCCTGCTGCTTGCAAATGGCCATCCGCCAGGCCATATGGCATATCAAGCTGCTTCTACAGGTGCACGCCGCAGCAACGCGGTGTCACGACCCGACAGAGGGGGCGTCTCCGGCCTATCTGTTGGATCCCAAAATCAGGCACCCCCAAGCTGCTGCAGCCCGTCGACGCTGATACCCCGGCCCCGGCGTGCGCCATCCCGCCACCCACCCCGAGCAGGCACGCGGGGATGGGCCCCGCTATGCCTATGTTGCCCGTGACCGACAGCGTCTGCAGCGCAGGGTTCTCCACCAGGGCGCAGTTGAGGGGCCCCGTGAGGTTGGCGTGACGCAGGTACGCGCGCTTGAGCTTGGGGAGCTGGGGGGGGGGACACGGGCGGTGGTGAAACGTCAACAGTCGAAGTGCGACGAGATGGAGGTGGGACTGAGGGACCCAAGAAGGGGCATTCGGTGCAGGTGGGGGGAACGAGCACAACCAGGAGGATGCAGCTGCCGCGCGCAAGTGTTGATCCGCGCCGCTTGGTGAGCTGCTCTAGTGTGACCGATCACCACAAGAACGCGCGCCTTGTGCCGCCCAGCCCTGCACCACCACAAGTCCCTGGAGTGCGGTGAATCAGACAGAGTTGTAAGCATCAGGCAGTACCAGACCATGCTGACCGCCCCTCACCTGCCCAATGATGGTGCCCATGGCAGCTGTCGTGCCCCCGATCTCATTATAGGCCACGTCCAGAATCTGCAGCTCCGTCAGCTTTGCAAAGCTGGCCGGGAGCCCCTTGTCGCCGCAGTTCAGGCCGGCGCCCGGCAGCGCCAGCTGCAGCAGCCGTCCCGCGCGGTTGCAGGTGATGGGTGGCATGCGGCAGAGGTCGGCCTCGGGGGAGCGGCCGGGCTTGGTGACCGCGGGGAGGTACTGCGGGGCGGGGTGGAAGGGGCGTGACAGCGCGGGGCGGTCAAGAGGTCCGCGTCACCTTCAACTCCAGAGCCTGCACCTGCTGCCCTGCCTCCCCAGGCGGCTGTGGCGGCTTGCCGGCCTGCTGCTGCGCTCAGCACTCCTGGCTCCTGGCTCCTGGCTGCGCGTGCTGCTGTGCAAAGCTTCGCCTGCCGGTCTCTCATGC